CTCCTCCTCCTCCTCCTCTCTCTCTCTCTCTCTCTCTCCCTTCCCTCCTTCTCTCTCTTTATCTATCTCTATCTCCTCTCCCCTTCCTTCCTCTCTCCTCTCTCCCTTTCCTTCCTTCCTTCCTTCCTTCCTTCCTTCCTTCCCTGCCTCCCTCCCTCCCTCCTCCTTCTTCTCTATCTCTCTCTCTCCCTTCCCTTCTTCTCTCTCTCTCTCTTTATCTATCTCTATCTCCTCTCCCTTCCCTTCCTCTCTCCCTTCCTTCCTTCCTTCCTTCCTTCCTTCCTTCTCCTCCTTCTTCTCTCTCTCTCCCTCTCTCTTCCCCCCCCCATGCCCAGGGGTCTGCAGGCAGCGGCGGGTGGGGGGGGCGTCTTTTGTTCGCCCCTTGGCAGAGGAAAGCCTCCGCTGATCTGGCAGCGGTCGTCGGAACGCGGCAAACCAGCTTCCATCGCGTTCCAGCCGGGAATTGCATGCTCTGCCGGGTGGGGGGAGGGGGGCTGGATTAAGCCAAGCGGGGGGGGGGCTCTCGGCCGGGGGCTGCCCAGCCGACCAAGGGTGGCCGCTTAGGTCCCCAATTTTCCCCCACCGCCCCGAAAACCCGGAGTTTAAGCGGAAAAGGGGGGGGCAACAAGGGAGAAGGGTTGGCAGCTTTGATTTGGGCGTTCGTCGCTTTGCAACCGGGCGCCCCCGGGCTCGCCCTCCTCCTCTGACGCTGCTTGCTTGCTTAGGAAAAGCGCCTGGCTTCTCCTCCCCTGCAGTTGCTATTTTTAAACCCCGGTTGGAATGGAGCTGGAAAGCTCCTCTCCAGCGGCCTTGGACGCTTAGCCTGGGATGCTGCGCTTTGAGACCTCCCTGAATTTCTAGGGGTGGGGGGCGTTGATTCTACTCCCGGGGTAACCGCTGAACTTGAGTCTCCTCCGGGTTTGATGGCTCAAGATGGCTCAAGCCTCTCGCTTGCAGTGGCTTCTACTGGTTTTGGCTGACTTTGGCAGGCTGGCAAAGCCGGCATGTGGCTTGGTGCAAGGTCTGAAGCCTCCTCTTCTGCTAATAAATCATGGCTTGCTGCCCTTGGCGTGAGCCCAGCCACGATTGAGAACCCGCAAAGGCTGGATTTGCAGAACTTGAGTTCAACCGAGCACATCCCAGGATGAGTTGTGTCAAAGTTGGAAACTTTTTAAGTTGAGGGGACTTCAACTCCCAGAATTCCCCGAGCCAAGCACAGCTTTTAGCTGAAAGAAAACCTTTTTGGAGAGAAACAAACCCAATGGACTTGATTTATATAGTTCAGGCGGATGACAGCTGGCTGAGGAATTCTGGGAGTTGAAGGCCACCCTTCTTAAAGTGTCCAGATTTGAAACCGGGGCTTTAGCAAAAGGCATCCACACCTAGTCCCTAGCCTGTGTGATTTGTGGCTTAGAGGTTTTGAATAGACCAGTCCCCTGGTCTTTATCACGGCCGTTGTTAAACCCTGGTTTCGTAGGAACTGTAAATTAGTTTCTGGTATGGTGTGTGCTTGAGCTACTGCACTTTTATACACAGGAGCGAAAGAGCGAGGTTAGTCTCTTTCAAACTCTGTTTTTTCCCCCACAGTGCTTTAAAAAAAGTTGTGGTTTTTTTGGTTAAAGTTTGCGCTTGTTTTATTTACATTGCAGGCTGTGTTAAAATGAATAAACAACTCAAACATTAACACAGCCTGTAGGAGAGACAGGGCTGCTAAACGGCTGCAAACAGAAACACGCAGAATTGCCTTCCTTTCTCTCCAGAGAATTAATCTGTCTTTTGACAATGGGTGAAAAAGTAAATAGCGAATGAATCTTGAGAAAAGAGCCAAAGGAGTCGAGCTTCCTTAAATAGCACGAGGTTAAAATAGTTTCATGGTGACGGATTGCAGAAAGGAAATCTGCCTGAGCCTCTAAATCAAATTCGTTGGGTTTGTTTCTCTCCAAAGGTTTTGCTTCAGCCAAAAAGCATTTTGTAAAGGCATCTTGAATTCTGTTCGGTCGGGAAGAGAGACGGTCAAAAGGGTAGGAATGGCGTCTTTTCGGCCATATTTATAGAAAAACCACAGCATTTGGAGGGGGGGGGAAAAAAGAAACAGAAAAACAGATGCTAGCATATATTGGCTCGGTTTTTAGCAAAGTTATCCAGGCAAACTTGGGGTGTCTGTGTGGCATGGTTACAAGTCAGGATTCAGGGAGACGTGACAACAGTGTTCTAATATTTGAGGGGCTTTTACAAAGAAGAGGGGGGTCAAACTATTTTCCAAAGCACCAAAGACAAGACGAGGAACAATGGGTGGAAACTAACCAAGGAGAGGAGCAACTAAGGAGAAAGTTTCTAGCTGTGAGAGCAATCAGCTAATGGAACAGCTTGCCTTCAGAAGCTATGGGTCCTCCATCACTAGAGGCTTTCAAAATCAGACGGGACAGCCGTTTATCTAAAATGGTATAGGATCTCCTGCTTGAGCAGGGGGTTAGATTAGAACAGTGGTTCTCAACCTGTGGGTCGGGACCCCATTTGGGGTCGATCGACCATTTCACGGGGGTCGCCAAGCAAGGCTGTCCGCCATTTTTTTTGTCCACCATTTTTTTTGTCCGCCTTTTTTCCCCCCTTTTCCGGCGGGTGCCTTACCTCCCTTGGGCTGGGCCAGCTGGTGGTCGGCCTGCTCCGTCTCTGCCGCTTGCCAGCTACGCCTCAGCCGGCGCAGGGGGCGGAACCACGCATGTGCCGCTCCCGGGCAGGGAAAGTCCTCGACTTACGACTTGTTGGGTAGTCCTCGACTTACGACCAGTTTAGTCCTCGACTTACGACCGGTTTAGTCCTCGATTTACGACCGGTTTAGTCCTTGACTTACGACTGGTTGGGGTCGCGGCATTAAAAAGGTTGAGAACCACTGGATTAGAAGATCTCCAAGGTCCCTCCCAACTCTCTTATTCTATGTTCGAAGTCAAGTTGTCTGGGACGGTCTGATAGAATCGGAGGCTGAGCTTTAATTAAACCATCTTGACTTTGGGGGGCCTGTATGGATACTGCTGGTCTGGATCCTGGTTTTCCCATTAAAAATCTGGACCACCACGTGGTAACATTGGAAGCACTGCTGCTTCTAAAGGAGGTCGCACAAAGAATGATAGAATCTGAGATAGTCCAATGCTTCTCAACCTTGGGGATTTTGTGCTGTGTTGGCCTTCAACTCCTGCAATTCCCAGCCATGCTAGCTGGGGAATTCTGGGAGTTGAAGTCCACCCAGCTGCTTTGAGAAACACTGGAGCAGAAGACTAACAAACTCATATTTCAGAACCTCACCTAGACGTCCAACATCCATCCAGTGAGAATCAGCGGTGCAGCTTTCCCCCCTGTTTTCAAGGTGACCCACCATGCACTTAGCCATGGTTAAAGGAACCTAGTTTCTCAATTGACCCAGGGTCCTTGTTGCACACATCACGCTGAGCCACAAAATAACACGCTATTTGAAATGATACTCTGGGAATTGAACTCGGCGCGTCTTAAAGTTACTAAGCTTGAGAAACACCGATAAAGACTGTTTCACACAAGTTGTGATTTACTAAATGAACTGTGCACCAGATGGATTCAGGGTAGGTGCTGAGCCCTAATTAAGCAACCTTTGTTTTGGCTTAGCATTATTTGGGGAACTTGGAAGATTGGGGTGAACCTGGCAGAAGAGTTTGCCTCCAATAAATATTCTGGCTAGGGGGTGACATATCCAAACATTACTCCATCTTGCAAAATAGATCTTTCCGAAGGCTTCCCTTAATAGGAATTGTTTGCATACATGTAAAATGCTGCAATAAACCACCGGAATGCATCATCCAATTTGGCTGCGAGGACAAATCTGAAAATTGTTGTTTGCTTTTAGATGGGCAACTGCATAAAACTGGAAAAAAAAACAAAGTTGAATTTTCATCCAGGTTCAAACAAGCTTCAGATCGTAGCTCCTGAAGGTGGCTTCCATTCAATTAGCCAAATCTGGTTTGACTCGGCTTCCGAACCACAATTAGATCTGTTTGCTTTCGACTGTTGGGCACGTTTTTGTGTCAAGCAGATGATATCTTATTCAATAGAGCAGAGATAAACATCTGTCTTGGGTGCAGCGCATGAAATCTAGCGGCACAAAGTGTTCAACTCTAATTTGTTTTAACCGTTGCTGCCTTTTAACAAGCTGCGCTTTCCGAAGCCTCCATAAGTTTTTTTTAAATTTAAGAAGAAGAAAAAACCTCATTGTAATATCTTCACAGTAATGGAACCATTTAGTGGTGGAATTACAGATAATCTTCGATTTATAATGATGCATTTACACGTTTGAAGTCCTCAACTTACAACAATTCACTGGAGGCTAAAACATATAAGGAACGGTTGCTGGAATTGGTCATGTCTAGTTTAATGAAGAGAAGGACGAGGGGGGACATGATAGCAGTCTTCCAGTATCTCAGGGGTTGCCCCAAAGAAGAGGGAGTCAAGCTAGTCTCCAAAGTGCCTGAAGGCAGGACAAGAAGCAACGGATGGAAACTAATCAAGGAGAGAAGCAACCTAGAACTAAGGAGAAACTTCCTGACAGTTAGAACTATTAACCAGTGGAACAACCTGCCTCCAGAAGCGGTGAATGCTCCAACACTGGAGGTTTTTAAGAAGAGACTGGACAGCCATTTGTCTGAAATGGTATAGGGTTTCCTGCCTGAAACAAAGAAAGACCAGTTGCCTCCTGAAAAAGCACCTTTGGTTCAGCCTGTTAAGTTTCTGAAATCTTTTTTTGGGGGAGAATAGGCAGGGCGCAACTGAGCGTAGATTCCAACTTATTTTTAATTTCTCCAGAAGGGGACAGGTTGGACAGATTTTTATAACCGAATGAAGGGCAATGTCACTTAAATGAATGGGTCGTCAGCCCACAATGTTGGCTATGGATGATGGAGTTGCAGTCCAAATGTGAGTTGAGAAAGGTTGCGTGCTACTAATGTTTCGTACTCCTATTTTAAATTTTCCAGGTATGCGTGTCTCGTGTGACGTGATTTGTCTTTCCACTTGCAGGCTGCCACGATAAAGCGGTCCTGTTGTACGAATACGTGGGAAAGAGGGTTGTAGATCTCCAGCACACTGAGGTCCCAGATACCTACAGGGGCAGAGGAATCGCAAAACACCTGGCCAAGGTATGGATCAGCTGGTTGCCCTTCCTGAAATGGATGCTCGGGGTCTTCAATGGCCTTTTTCTATTTGTACTTCGGTAGATTTAACTCTTACTATATCTTAGGGGAGGGAATACATTTTATTGCATGCATTTTTGACACTTTTCTTGTTAGATCCAGACTATGAATTGCTAGGAAAGTACATTGGCAGTCAGGAAAGAGATTAAATTTGGCATCCATCAAACATGTCCCTTCCAAAGACATTTCTAAAATGGAAGGTTTTTTTTCTCCCCCCCAAAAAATAAATCCACTTTATTGTCACCAGCTGAAGGAAAATTCACCCAGTAATATTTACGACCCATGGTTCACATTTACGCTGTCTCAGCCAAGTTTTCTGGCTGTCTAAAAACTGCAGATAGAAAAGAATGTTCCCTTGGCGTATTGACACCAACACGATGCAAATTTGATTTTCTAGCTATAGCCGTCTTTCTTTTAAAGCAATTGTTTTAAAAAATCGTAAATTCCATTGAAATGTTCAGCCTTTGGCCAGGCATCTTGGCTTCTCCAGGCCAGTGAGAGAGAGACTGGAAGTAAAAAAACCCACACATCTGGAGCAAGCTGGACCAGGGGGGGCTGAATTTGTGGTGAAACCCCTCCTTCTTCCAAGAAAGAGAAAGAAAGAAAAAAAAATCTTGGTTTAATTTCCATGCACCCGTTGTCGGATAGCGTTTCAACCGGTCCCATCAAAATCGCCTCGTTGGGCTTTCGCTGCTTATTTCTTTATTATCCTCTGGCCTTTGTTCATTAAATTAGCTAATGAGCATGGAGAAACCGGCGCAGAGCTGATTATAGCTGGGGACTCAAAAGGGACAGATTGAACTTGCTTTGCAACCTGTAATTTATGGATAAGCAGCTTTGGTTGCAAATTCTGATCTTTTAAGAGAGGCCCCTTATGGTTTTGCTAGGATCCTGCGGCTTCTCTGCGTATCAGTTGTCTTGATCTCCTCCAGTCTGCTCTCTGTTCTTCATTCCTTCTTCCCCTTCCTGTGGCTTCCTTTGTCTACGTAAAAAGCAGGATTTCTTAGGGCAGGAGGAAAACCTGGCTTGCAGGTTTCAGGATTTGGATACGGCTAATCTAGAGAAAAGAAGGTCTGGGGGGGACATGATAGCAGTATTCCAGTATTTGAGGGGCTGCCACAAAGAGGAGAGGGTCAGTTTATTTTCCAAAGGACCAGAAGGCAAGCCTCTGAATTTGGATCTCGTGACCGCGGGATGCTGCAACGGGCATGTGAAAAATGGTCCAAAGTCATGTTTTCCAGGGCTGATGTAACTTTGAACGGTCAGTAAATGAACTGTTGTAAGTCGAGAACTACCTACCTGGCTCCATCTTGAATTCTAGATGGGTGGCACTAGAACTAGAAGAGGAAGCATGTCACCTGAGGTCCTCCTGAACTTGTAGCTCCTGTAAGAGCTGGAGATGGAAACCGTGACCTGGGATGACTTTTGCTTAGGTTTGGCTAAGGCTTGTTGTGGCCCAGGAGAAGATTTGGCAACAGTGAGCCACGCCTTTTCCCCAACATGGGTGGATTATTTACGATGATTCAGAAGCTGGAGTTGGGGCAGAAGGAGTCCACGCCTACACTTCCTGACTAGCAGGAGCCAAAATTGCTGGAAAAGATTGGGCTTCTGGGTCTAAGGCTCTAGTTCTTATCCATGATGGTTCTGCCCCTTGATACCTACCTCTAGCATCTCCTTGTTCAGGTGTGCTGATGCCTCTCCTCCATCCAAGATCACAAGATTGTCATCTGCAACCTTCCCAGCCAGCTTCCAACAAGCAGATTGACAGAACAGAATGGGAAGGGGCCTTGGAGATCCTCTAGTCCAGCCCCCTGCTCACGCAGGAAATCCTATACAGTTTTACATAAATGGTTGTTATCCAGTCTCTTCTTATAGGAAGGAGATATGAAGAACGGTTGCAGGAATTGGGCCTGTCTACTCTAGTGAAATGAAGGACTAGGGGTGACATGATAGCCATGTTCCAATATCTGAGGGGCTACCACAAAGAAGAGGGGGGGTCAACCTGTTTTCCAAAGCACCTGAAGGCAGGACAAGAAACAATGGGTGGAAGCTAATCAAGGAGAGAAGCAACCTGGAATGAAAGAGAAATTTCCTAACAGTGAGAACAATTAACCAGTGGAACGGTTTGCCTCCGGAAGTTGTGGGGATGCCAACACTGGAGGTTTTTAAGAAAAAAAATGGACAGCCATTTATCTGGAAGTCTCTAGCGTTTCCTGCTTGAGATTAGACACCTCCAAGGTCCCTTCCAACTCTTGTTATTCTGTTATTCTTAAAAATCTCCGGTGTTGGAGTACCCACAACTTCTGGAGGGCAAGTTGTTCCACTGAGTCAATGGAGGACGCCCAATTCATTTAATGACCGTATGATTCATTTAACAACTGCCGTGATTTGCTTAACTTCTGTGGCAAAAGAGGATGTAAAATCAGGCAGACCTGATTTAAACACCGCCTTGCTTTGCAACAATCCTATCCCGATTGTGGTTGCAAATTGCGAACTTACCTGCGTGTCAGAAGCTAACTCTGTTTCCGGGGGGGGGGGGTGTCTTTCTCTTCTTTGTTTCCAGGCTGCCTTGGATTTTGTGGTGGAGGAAGATTTGAAAGCTCACCTGACATGTTGGTATATCCAGAAATACGTCAAGGAGAATCCGCTGCCCCAGTATCTGGAACGTTTACAGTCTTAACCCCGGAGAGCAGGGGAACCTGGTTTGAAGATGGCAGCCAGGCCTGCTAGGGACTTGCCTTGGCCTCCAAGCTGTCATGGGAGACTCCTCGCCTGCCTCTGTCCGTGCTCAAGAGGTCCTGCGTTTGAAAAAAGACCAGAGGGTGTGATTTCTCAACCGTGCTTCCAAGCCGTTCTCCCAACGGTTCGGCCGACTTGAGGATTTTTACGGTGTGCGTTGATCATTTGCCTGGAAAACCCTCAGGGGGCAAAATTCAACCTCCTGCCACTTGGGTGAACTTGTGGCAGGAGAAGGCATGGGGTGGGGGGGGGTCAGGTTTGCAATGAGGGTTGAGCTAAAGGAAGTCAGGTTGGCCGCCGTCCTCCCGGAGCAGCATGGAGAAGACAGACGCCGAGCTGTCTGGATCTCCAAGGGCATCTTTGAACACTTGGCTAGATTCATTGTGTGGCCAGGTGCAGGCTAAACCTGGAGCTGGAAACAAGAGGTTAAATAAAGGTTGGGCTCCTGCTGTGAGCCCTCAGCACCCTGGGGCACCTGCCGAAGCATGGACTGCAATGAAGGAAGGACCTTTACCTGGGGCTCCTCAACTGGGTTTTTTGGGGTGACGGTGTATGAAGGAGAGGCTTAGATGGATTCTACGGACATTTTGAGGAATGGGCGGGCGTGGCTATTTATCACATTTTGGTGGGTCCTCCCTCCCTTCTCAATCTCCCCTCCGAAGGTGGGGGGATGTTTCTTGTTATATGGAAGAAGAAGACGAAGAGTGAGAGGCTAAGGATGGAGATGAGGAAGGGAAGAGCGTTGGGTATCTTCTGGACAAATGCTGGGCATCTCCAACTAAAATAGAGTCCTTTTCTACTAGAGCCATTTTTTTTTAACAGATCCATAATGCAGACAGCGTAAAGGAGGTGGAATCGTACAATCTTAATGGCCAGGGATTTCACAGGAGATGCTGCTAGAAGGTCTTCTTTAAGATGAATTGGCTAAAAGTGGTTCAAGAAAAGAGACTGGAGCGAAATGGGTCTACTCTGGGGGAGGGGGGAAATGTTAGCTTTCTAGCTGTGATCGAGCTCTCCATTTCTTCAGCCCTTCATTTCTGGCGAGGATGGCTGGGGATACTGGGGTCAGAAAAATAGAGAGGGACCCTTGATAGGATTGTTTAAACCAGGGGTGCCCAACCTTGGCAACTTTTAAGACCGGTGGAATTCTGGGAGGCGAAGTCCACAAGTCTTCAGGCAGGGTGTCCGACTTCAGCAACTTTTAAGACTTCCCAGAATTCCACAGATCTTAAAGTTGCCAAGGTTGAACACCCCTGTTTAAACAGAATATTATCCATGGGTTGAGACCATTGTCCAAGTTACCTCTTTAGGTTGCAATTACTTGCAAGCTAACGCAATAAGGTTTTGCAGGGAGCTCTAATTGCCTTCTGTTTCCTGTTCTCTTCCTACCCTCCCCTTCCTGTCCTGAATGGGGGTTATTTAGTCCTATTGTCCCTAGTCAAGCACCGTCCAGATGTCTAGCACTACAGTTTCCATCACCCTGGGCCAGTACAGAGGGTGCTCATATTAGGAAAACGTGTTTTAATAGGGCGGCACCTGGAAGGATTTGGCTGTGTTAATTTTGCCGCAGACCTGGAATTTGGATTCCTTTGAGAGGTCCAAGTGTCCCTATCCCTTTTTTCCTGCTCCATTCAGCTTCTTAGATCTGTCTTTGGGAATTTCAGCAGAAATAAATGGAGAAAATGAGATAAGGTAATCATTACCTAAAGGGTGATATTTTGGGGCAGCCAGTGGTATTGTGTGGTTTGACTTATTGATGGTTCTAAAGCAAGGTTTCTCAGACTTGGCAAATTTAAGACCAGTGGACTTCAACTCCCAGAATTCCTGGCTGGGGAATTCTGGGAGTTGAAGTCCACTGGTCTTAAATTTGCCAAGTTTGAGAAACTGTCCTAAAAAGATGCCAGCGAGAGTCCAAGTGACGTTTTGGGAGGGTACCGGCATTCTTAGGCATTCACACGTCTTATCTGCCCTCCCAGCAAGCGACTATGTTAAAACTGCTTGTTGTACAATTAGAAAACTTGAGCTTCTCGTCCTTACTGCTCAATCACTGCCATGGCACCCCATTGTCTTCAGTTGTGTCTCCGAAGATATCCCCCTTATCTAGAAAATACTATTGGATGCTGAGGAGGAGGAGGAGGAGGAGAAGAGAGATGGCTTATCCTCGGCTGAAGAGGTGGCTTGCCAAGATCAGGGTTAGTCCTTCCAGGTTTACAATAAGTGCAGTATTTCAGAAACGCTCCAGTTTCCTTCCGTAGTGCCCCAGCAAAACTTTGTTGAATCTACTGAGATATTGTTAGTAACACTGGTGCTTTTCTTTTTTGAAAAAAACCCCCCAACCTCTTACCTTTCTGCAGTTTTTAATTTTTGCATTTCAGAGAGACAAGTGTCTCCAAGGTGAGCAGGGGGAGGGCAGGGGCAATCAGATCCTTGCCCTTGAAGGAGTCACAAAGCTCAAGGTGGTGGATTGGAGGCCCCATTTTTCCTCTATTGAAGTATCTCGGTTGTAAGTGTCTGGGTGCAGCTGTCCAGTTGTGGTTGAGCTGGCTAGAGATTCTTGGAAGTCTCAACTTCTCTTGAAGAGGCCAAATTGGGGAGAACGAAACTTTTAGCGGATATTTGAGAACGAAAAATATCCCTGGGATCTGCTGGAGGAAGAACAGAGCATGGATAAAGCACCTCTCTATTGTTAGATTGAGGATCGGAAGTCCATTAGGTGGGCACCCAGCGCTTCAAAAACTATAGGATGGGCACAACTTTACGAACCACCTAGAGCTTCAAAAGCCACCAGCTTAGAAGATTCGGAGTGTGTGTGTGTGGGGGGGGCTGACTCTGTGTTTTCCACCAACTTGGGATTATTTTTACCCTTATTCTATGTGCCTTTCTGACTCAGGACTTCTTACAATGACATTTCCGGTTGGTGTGTACATGTGTGTTTTTAACATTTTCCTTCTCGGGTTGTGTTATGAATAAAAATCTGATCCTGTTGCATGAAATACCGTTTTTAAAAGTGTGGCTAAGCTGTTTGGTCACTAAAGATTATTGATTTTGGTGGGATTGGAACCTGCAAGACAATGGAAATGTGCAGAGATTCATTTACTCACACCAAAAGACTCACTAAAGGGTTACATCTCTCTCTCTCTCATTTATCTACCATCTATCATCTGTCCATCTATCCTTCATCTCTCTATTATCTATCTCTCTAACATCTATCAATCATTATCTATCTATCTATCTATCTATCTATCTATCTATCTATCTATCTATCTATCTATCTATCTATCTATCTATCTATCTATCTATCTATCTATCTATCTATCTATCTATCTATCAGCTGAGGTTTCCAGAGGCAGCAGAAAAGGCTGATTCTTGGACAAATTCACAGGCAGTGCTAAGCCATAATGTGTCGAATCAAGATGATTAAATGGGCTGCAAAAGTCTATTTGCAGAAAATGCCGTACCTTACAACACAGTTTGCAAACCCATAAGGGTTGAGTTCAGTTAGCACAAGTATTTTTTCAAACTTGGGTCAAGCTAATGCTGGCTGGAGAATTCTGGGAGTTGAAGTCCACACTTCCTAAAGCGACCAGGTTGACGTGCTAACTTGGGTGTTCTTCCCTGTTTTTTTCTGGCTTAGGCTTGGGTGCTGGGTCGTTAACAAACCATGGTTTATCAGGATGTTGGTTCGATGGTCGCCCAACCAACCAACCCCCCAAATCTCTTAATTAGGAACTTTGCAATGGTAAGCGCTGCTTGCAATGGAAGGAAGGCATATGGGCTGTTGAAATGTTTTGTGTTTTTTTTTTTAAATTTTATTTTATTGTTTATTTTCCACTGGCAAACGTGCATTCCGAATCCGAAGCCCGAGAAACGAGGTGCCGCGCTCTCATTGGCTGAGCCCGCGCGAAGTGGGTGGAGCCAGAACTCCTGCCAGGCCCCCGTCCGCTCTCCGGGAGCGTGGGTAAATCTCTTCTCCCCGCCCCTCGGGCTCTCTGGGCGCCTCCCACGTGGACCACGCCACTCCCGCCCTTCCCTGGGAAAAGTAGTTTTCCCCGTCCCCTCTTCCCTTCGCCTTCCCTTGAGGCGAAACTCCATTTCCCAGGCGGCACCGCGCGCGCTCTTCCCCCCCTCCTTCCCTTTCCCCCCGCCGCCTCCGGCCCGGCCGCCGCCAAGATGGCTGGAGTTTGTAGTTTGAGCGAGAGGAGGAAGCCGTTGCCCGGGCTTCCTCCGCGCCCTCTTCCCGGACTCCGTTTCCCGGCGGCCCTCGCGAGGCGCCTCCCTCGGCCGCCCTCTCCGCCCTCGGCTCGGCGCCGCCGTCCCTCCCTTTCGGCGGAGACATTTGCGAAGCCTTTTTCCAAGATGGCGGCCTGGGGAAGGAGGCGCGCGGGGCCCGGCAGCTCCAGCGGCGGCGCCGCCCGGGAGAGGTGAGTCCCGCCGCTCCGGCCGGCCAAGCCGGGCCGCCTCGCCCCTCTGAGCCGGGCTTGATGACAAGGGAAGCGGCGCCGGGGTTTGCACGCCTCCCCGCTCGGGCCACTGCTCGATCAGGGTCCCTCCAGCCTCGGAGGACTACAGCGCCCATCGTCCCCAGCGTGGCTGAGCTGCCCCATCGGCCCTTTCCCTGCCTTCCCCCCTCCAGCCTTTGGAGATCTGTCTCCCCCCTCCCCTCGAGCCAGCAACGGGGCGGGGGTGGGTTGCACGTTCTAATTAAATCTGGGGAGGGGGATCACATTGATAGGCTGGGGATGATGGGGAGGGGGGTCCGAGAGAGCCCCTGGGTTGAGCTGCCGGCGCTTTTGAAGCTGGGGAGTGGAGAGGGGGAGGGAGAGAAACCAGCTTTCGGGGAGGGCAGGAGGGAGGGAGGGATGGGGGGGTTGAGGCTGGTCGTGTGAACCAGTCACGGGTTGTGAGAATGACCTTGGGAGGCAGGACGAAGATCCGCAGGCT